TTTCACCCAAATCACAATAAAAATAAAAAAAAAAAAAACTCCACAAAAAACCACTGGGCTGCTAACCAAAAGGTTGGTGGTTTGGACCTACACGCCACTATGTGGGAGAAAGATGTGGCATCTAGCTCCTGTAAAGATTTCCAGCCTAGGAAATCCTGTGGACAGTTCTGTTCTGTCCTGTAGGGTTGCTATGAGTTGGAATCAACTTGATGGCAATGGATTTTGAGAGTTCTTTAAAGGTGAACCGGGCCATTGGGCTGCAGAGTAAATCAGACAGATGGAGACTCCGTCCTTGGGGGGAGGGAGCCAGACAGAAAACGGCTCACCTCGCTGACAGATGCCCGTTCTCCAGTGGTTGGTGCCAGGAAGGAAATGTACTGGGGACGTGACCCAGGCTGGCTCAGGACTGGAGGGCTTCCCCGAGGAGTTGACGTTTGAAGGGCGAGTGGAGTCATTCTTGCAGGGAGAAGGAGGAGGGATCATTCCAGGAGAGGAATTAAATTTGGACAGGGCTGGAGCGTCATGGGAGAGGGAGGAGGATGAGGAAAAAGGGAAGTCAGCTGGGCAGGGGCTGAATGGGCAACTCCTTGGAGAGCGTGGGGTAACTAGGGACTTGATAAAACATTTTATTAGGGAAAATTACCATATTCTTCCATATAACAGACCCATTAAATAATGCTCCCTGGCAGGAGCTGCACAGCGTGCAAAAACAACCACCACCATATAACCTGCATGTTATTTTCGTGAAAATATGGTAAATTCCAAGCACACTTACTGTTAGGTATTAGCATAAAGCATATGTCTCGGCCCGACTTTAATAGTTGTCCACATTTTGCCCCTGTTGCTTATCTTCTCCCCTCCCCTATGTGTAAGCAGACTTTTCTCATCAGGAAACACTTCGGGGTTTATCTTTAACATATAACAAAAACCTCGATCCTGTTACTACATACTGCAGAATTGACCAAATATCACCTGATACCCGGTGTGTACGTGTTCACCTTTGTCCCATCATCTCACAGATGACTTTTTGTGATTGGATGGACTGCTAAAGGGGCAGGGAGGCCGCATCTGACCTCTTATAACCTCACAAGAGGAAAACAGAATCACTATCGGTAGCCCAAGGCCCATTCCTGTGAGGCCAGACATGCTATGCTGCCTCCCTCCAGCCCTTTCACCAACCCTGACACCAACCGTTCCTCCCGCAGCACCCACCACCTCTCTGCTGGGTTCCATAATTCGCTGTAGTGGCCACACAGAACTCACAGATTGTGGGGTTTATTAGGGAAGCACCAGGCTACAATTCAAGTTCAGGAAAAACGCTCAGCCCCTCTCAGCCTGCCGTCTCTCAGCCAACAGTC